TCTCTCTCTCTCTCTCTCTCTCTCTCCCTCTCATTTATTAATTGATTTTAACCTAATATTTACCCAAATGTATGTACGGTCAGAATGAAGACCTGGTGCGGCAATTCCTGGACCAAACCCTAACGTCCCGTCTGGGCATTCGTATGCTTTGTGAACACCACTTGGCGTTGGCCTCAGACGCGGCCGCAGAAGAAGAGCGGACTAATTATATGGGTATCATAAACGTAACGATGAGACTCCGGGATGTGGTGGACAATTGGTGCGACTACGTGGCCGACATGTCTGACCACCATTACGGCCGATCGCCGCCATTCAAAATCAACGGACACGTGAGCGTACAGTTCCCGTACATACAGACGCCGTTGGATTACATTCTGCCGGAGCTCCTGAAGAACGCCGCCCGGTATGTCATATTTGCAAACTAGATTAGAAATTTAAACAATCATGTTAAAACATTTGTCTATTTTATGATTAACCAGTGCCACAATAGAGGCACACCTGGACTCACCAACACTGCCACCCGTGACGGTGACCATAGCGTCCAACGACACGGACTTTATCATACGGATCACGGATAGGGGCGGAGGCATACGTCACGATCTCGTAGATCTGGTCACCCGTTACCACTTCAGCACAGCCGGCGAGTCCATCGATAGTCGACTCGACGGCGGTATACTCGGCCACATTATGAAGGACTCGGCCACCAGCGCGTCGCCAATGCATGGCTTCGGGTTTGGTTTGCCCACCAGTCGAGCCTATGCCGAGTACTTGGGCGGCAGACTCTCCATTGAGTCCATGCAAGGCATCGGCACCGATGTGTACCTAAGGCTCCGCCACATCGACGGCAAACAAGAGTCGTTTAGGATTTAATTAATTTTAATTTAATGTTTTTAAATTACATATTAGCTGTTTTTTTTTAACTATTATTATAATTCATGTTAATTTAGATGCAGTTAACTCTCGTCCAGTGTATATGTGTTTTGTATTGCGAGAGTAGATTGTATTGCATTTAATAGGTGTATATTAATTATATAATTAATAGGTCTTTATCTCAATTTATATTATTATTTAATTAATTATGAATTTTAATTATTATCTCATATATTCTAATAATATGGTTATACAACAGAGTTGTATAAGTGGCTCAATAGTGGCCGCACAAAAAACTTTGATGTTAACCATAATTTTGAAAGTAGTGTCCGTTTATTTAGATATTATAATTAATTATGATTATTATATTAGAAATATATTATATTATTTCCTATAACCGCTGTTATAAACAATAATTATAATTTCATTTAGTATTTTAAGTCACTTACTATTAATTGAATTATAAATTTTAAAGTTATGGTAATATTTTGTAAAATTTAAATGTTAGGAATCTTATAATAATTTACTAAACAATTAATCAATAATATTATAAAATAAGATTATTTTTTAATTTTATTTACATTTATAAACCTGTGATATATAGTCGGTTAGAAATAATTATCTTGATAAATACTGTATAATCAGTTCAATATACCAAACTATTACACTTTTTATACGCTTTTTCAATTAATCTGCCATTTATTAAAACGTGTGGTCATTACTATGAAAATAATTTGTACTTTACATATAAGAGTAATTAAAATGAGATTATTCCTATTCTATTGAGCTTTTAGTTTAATGTTTTAATTATAAATTTATAATACGAATATATTATTATATTATTAATAAACTTTTATTAATAAAAATTTATTATAATTAATTATTAGCATTTATTTTTTATTTAATACAAAACACTTAAGTTAATTACAGTAAAATCTATAGAAAATATCAATTGTGTTATTTATTTCGTAAATAAAAATTAAATATTGACACAAATAAACATTTATTAGATTTTAATGTAAATTATAAACTTAAAATTATATACTTTTTAGTTAGTTAGCAAAATACAAGTTTAATAACAATTGATTTCAATTTGTAAAGCCAGAGTTTTCCAGTATCATCAGTAGTGTTTGTAGTATCCCTAATATCCATCTCCATAATAACCATGGTAATCACCATGATGATGTCCATGGTAATGAAGCAGGTGGTGTTTACTAAAGCCAGTGCTGAATCCCTCATGCTTATAATAGTGTTGTGGCCCATTCTCGTGGCCGTAGCCAATGTTCTTATACCAATAGTGGGGTCTATAATGACCATCATATAAGTGATGGTGACCATGATGATGGTGGTGTCCGAAGCCATTGTGATGCCCACGGCCATGATGGCCGCCGTGGTTGCGTCCGCAACCATGATGGCCATGGTGGTGCCCTAGAGCGTGGTGATGTGCGTCACCACGATGGCCATGGTGGTGCCCCAACCCGTGGTGATGTTTATGCCCATGACGACCACGGAAGCGTATTAATGGTCCGTAACCGTCATCATAGTGTTGCCCATTATCATCATTACTATGAAGAGCATGGTGATGATGGCCGTATCCATGGTAATGGTTGCCGTGTCCGTGGTGATGTCCATATCCATGATGAACCTGATGATGGTGGTGGTGGTGGCCATATCTGTGGTGCTGCCCGAGTCGATGCCGTCCACGGGTGCTAATTAACGGTCCATAACCATCATCATAAAGTTGATGAACGCCATTAGGACTACCGCCATGACCACGGGGAGCGTGTCGCACATTAATATGGCCATGGTGATGCCTATGAGGGTGATCATCTTTACCTAGATGTCCACGGTGTCTAGATCTGTGATGATTTGAACCAATATGGCCATGGTGCTGATGGTGAACAGGTCTGTGATGTTCTAAACCAATATGCGCAGGGTGGCTACTGGATCTGCTAGGTTCTAGACCAATATGAGCAGGGTGGCTACTTGAACTACCAGGTTCTAGACCAATATGAGCAGGGTGGCTACTTGAACTACCAGGTTCTAGACCAATATGAGCAGGGTGGCTACTTGAACTGCCGGGATCCAGACCAATATAAGCAGGGTGGACACTAGAACTGCCAGGTTCTTCACCAATAAGAGCAGGGTGAAAATCAGATTTGGTTTGAGGTTTGAGACCAATATTTCCATGTTGCTGTCCAGACCTGTGATGTTCTGTAGCACTTTGATCATGGTGGTGTCCAGATGTGTGATGTTCTGTGGCACTATGATCATGGTGGTGTCCAGATGTGTGATGTTCTGTGGCACTATGATCATGGTGGTGTCCAGATGTGTGATGTTCTGTACCAATATGACCATGTTGCTGTCCAGATCTATGATGCTCTGTGCTAATATGACCATGGTGATGTCCATTAGTGCGATGGTCCAGATTTGGACGACCTGGTTGACCTGGATCATTTGGAAGACTTGGTTGACCTGGATCATTTGGAAGACTTGGTTGACCTGGATCATTTGGAAGACTTGGTTGACCTGGATCATTTGCAAAACTTGGTTGACCTGGATCATTTGGAAGATTTGGAAGACTTGGAAGATTTGGAAGCACAGGTTGACCATGTGCTGCAGTATCCATACTAGCATGGATTTTGCCACTATTACCTATATCAGTATGAACAATTCTTTTATCTGAACTAGAATGGGCATGGTGTTGATCATGTGATTGATGCCCCGAACTACCATGCCAATGATGGTGTTTATTGCTACCATGTCCACCAGAACTATGACTTTGACTGGTATGATGTTCAAAGTGATGCTTGTGTGAACTGTGGTGTTCTTCATTGTGGTGTTCTTCATGGTGTTGTTGAACGTGGTGGTGCTGCTGTTTTTGTGGTAACTTATTATCACTATAGCTACTAACGTGATGACGCATAGGTCCATCTTCATAATCATCACCACCATGATCATAATGGTGATAATGGCCGCCATACCCGAATTTAGCCAACAGTTGATTTATATTCCACCAGTTTTTCATCAGCACCTGTAGGTCCAGATCGTAATGACCCTCGTATTCACTTTCATAAGCGCCGGTCAGCCCCACAATAAGCGCCCATTGTATGGACACAATTACAATCAACTTATTCATTGCATATATTATAGGGCCCTATGTTGTAAGGCTTTAATTATTCTATAGATTAGTATCTAGATTTAACAACTGGTTTTATTTTAAGTCTAGAGTGTTTTTGTGGCTCCCATTTTTGCGGCCGCATAAACACTAATGTTTTTATTTTCAATATATTGGCAAATATGGTTTTGTTTATTTCATAATATGATTGCTTTTTGTACCAAGATCTTAAATTTAATTTATGATAGAATAATATTTATTGTATTTAATGTAGTGTTTAATAATTATACACTTATTATATGTTTACCCTAATTTGTAATTTTGTTTAGTTAATTATACCGTACGCCTGGCCGAAGGCTGATCGGTTTGATCTGCAGTTTTTCCCTCAATACATCGTCTATTGGGGACGGCATAGACATACACTATAACCTCAGTAGACATGCCGTTTTATAACTGAAACTTTGAAATGTAAAAAAGCGTTTTTATACAGCTGGAGATAGTTTAGACTAGTAACAACACGTAAAGAAAATAAAAGAATAAAGGTCAGTGTTAACGGGTATAATGCCGAAAAGGACTATGCCCAATTGTGTGATGGGATGGACTTGGGAATTATTGTTATAAAATGAAAAAACATTCAATAAATAGTCGAGTGATATATTTCATATGCCCAGATGCTTTCGGGTCTGGCCGTAATGACCACTTTTATCGGTAAAATTCTAAAAATCAAATCTTTTATTTTATAAATAAGTATATTATATTATATATCAATAGAAAGGTATGGATGAGTGGAATCGAAATCCGAAGGAATTTACTAAATCTGACATAATCGGTAATGGTTATATCAAAATTAAGAAATTTAGTAACAGTTATGCGCGTGTTTTATGGTGAAATTGGGGACGGCATAGACATACACTATAACCTCAGTAGACATGCCGTTTTATAACTGAAACTTTGAAATGTAAAAAAGCGTTTTTATACAGCTGGAGATAGTTTAGACTAGTAACAACACGTAAAGA